GTTTCAATGATTTTTTTATATTTTTAGGATTGTGCACTTCGAATACTTCAGTTGTGTGCTTTAGTTTATTCAAATTCTTTCGATTCTTCATCTTCTTCGGAGCCATGCGATTATTCGGATTTTAATGATTCTTCTATCATATTCTTAAAGCTCCCTCCTGATACTTTATAACGATTCTCTACATTTTTCACCAAGACCTTTTGGATTCTCCCTTCTTTTCTCTTGGGATTTTATTCAGGCATTTCAAATATTTAGAACTCAACGAATAATTTTTGGGATAGTTCAGATTTTTCCACTTCTTCGAATTTAACCTTTTGAAACTCATGATTTTTAATCTGGTACGTATTTTCAAATTATCTAAACGGAATTTTGAACGGCACTATTAAAACTGTAACACTTCGCTCGTTTAACCTAATCTTCATCTTTAATAATAACCCATGCAATCCCACTGGATCTAGGACATTGTGGTAATTTGGTATACAAATTGAGAAGGTCGAGGTTACTTACTACAAAGCTATGTCAGTACAGTGCAAAAATGAGAGGGGGTAACAAACTTGTATTTTTTTATTATTAGAAATGGCATTTGCTTATTATGTGCCCTTTAGAGACTATTCTCGATTGTGATGAGCGAGTGATGGTATGGCGCATTTAGGTACAGCATCCAACTTGGAAAGTGCACTCAAAGTGCTTGTATCATTGTAGATACATTTAATTTGAAAATGGACCGTTGATGATTTATTGAGATTAATCCAAAGGATTCTTTTTCTTCGCTCTGCTATAACAAAATCATATTGTCATTCGCTCATCACAGTTCATTTATAATAAGTCCACGAGTTTTGAGTGTGATAGCATTTTACAAATCTCTTTTTGTATCAGTATTGACCGTCAAATTAATGACTTTACTTGCCCTACCGCTCAATTTGAGATTTTAGAGATTGTTTTATGGTAAAAGTAACCCAAAAATGATGCGCTCGAAGTCAATTTTGTAAGTTACTAAATTTGCAAGAAATAACAAATGTAGGTAACTTCGTGAAAGGCGAAAATCGACTTGAAAGTATATAATTTATTCACCCTTCTACAGGATCCGCCAGGCACGTAGTTTGACGGATATGTTATCTTAGGAAAGGACAGTATTTACTATGGGAAATCCACAGACAACGGAATAAATCTCGAAAAATCAACCGGTTAGAAAATTACAATTGCGCTGGAACGTAATTTCCTTAATGGATCTTAAAGGATGTCAATATTTTCTTAATTTATTGCAGGTATTTTACGGGAAGTCCCTTAGGATTATTGGCGTGTTGCCCTTTCTTTTTTTTTGTGTTTCATTTGAAGTAAAATTGATGAATCTTCGCCGCACTTTTTTGGGTAGGTAATAAATATGGGGAACAGCACAAAACTACGACCTTCTTCTTTTTAATATTGTCCCGTGAGCATAGGTGACAGGTAAAGCAGGTGAAACGCACGCGCTTACTTCGCGTGTGGAGTCAGGCCGGCGCGCCAGGGTTCAATCAATACGGGTTTGCGGGTTCTTGCACGCTGGTGGTTGCTACCACGCTCTCGGGATACTCAGCCGGTACT